TTCGTTTGGAACTAATCAAATTACTATAACTGGTTTTTGGTTTCCTGAAGTTTCCACTAGTGTCTCGCTGTGGAAAGATTCGGAAAATGGTTGCAGATGCCAAAGATTCTAATATATCGAGATTGGAGCTTCTAAACTTTCCAGGTGGACCCCAGACATTTGAACTAGCAATGAAATTCTGTTATAGCATCAATTTTGAGATCACAGCTGCAAATATCGCCCACCTTCGCTGTGCTGCGGAATACTTGGAAATGACAGAAGACTACAGGGAAGAAAACTTGATTGCACGAACTGAGGTCTATTTGAATGAGGTTGTAGCTCAGAGTCTTGAAAAGTCTGTGGAAGTTCTTTCAAGTTGTGAGCTGCTGCCTCCAATAGCTGAAGAAGTGGGAATTCCAAAGAGATGTGTGGAGGCCATCGCCGTTAATGCTTGCAAGGAACAGTTGGTGTCAGGTCTATCTCAGTTGGATTGTGACAGTGAATGTACAGCACTTAAGAGTGGTTGTCTTGATTGGTGGGCTGAGGATCTTTTAGTGCTAAGGATTGATTATTATCATAGGGTTATATGTGCAATGGGAAGAATGGGTGTTCGACCAGATAGCATTATAGTCTCTGTAATGCATTATGCTCAGGCATCACTGAAGGATATTGGGAAATTTCAAGGTTGGAATCCTGCAAAGATGAAACCAGATCCTGGCATGGGAGAGATTGATCAGAGGACAATTGTGGAAACTCTTGTAAGTCTCATGCCGACTGAGAAAAGTTGTTCTACTCCACTCAGTTTCCTGTTTGGGATGTTGAGAGCAGCAATTATGGTAGATGCTAACATTGCCTGCAGGCTTGAGCTGGAGAGGGCAATTGCTCTTCGGTTGGAAATGGTTTTGCTTGATGATCTACTTATGCCATCTCTCCGACCTGGTGATTCATTATTTGACGTTGATACTGTGCATAGGATACTGGTAAATTTCTTGCAAAGGATAGAAGATGAAGATGATGAAGATTGTGGGTATGAATCAGAAGGCCTTGGTTCTCCAGGACATGGTTCTTTGTTGAAGGTTGGGCGGCTTGTAGATGCATACTTGGCAGAAATTGCGCCTGATCCTTGTTTGAGTTTGCAGAAGTTTATTGCTATGATAGAAGTACTGCCCGACTATGCTCGTGTGGTAGATGATGGACTATATAGAGCAGTTGATATATATTTAAAGGTAAAAAATTCCCTAAGATAGATCACTTAAAATTATGTGCATCAAATTTCTTTTTCCAATCATTTTCATTTACAATTAAGTTATACGCATGTGATTTATCTAGGATTTGACTGACTCCTTTGCTTTGATTTATACACCAACGATTCATTGCCTTCCTTTTAGGTCAAATGCCCTTGTGGGAAAATATGCTTTTGCATCATTCCACATATTCTGAAGCATTTACGGTCAACTAAATTTTTGGAGGCTGATGTGCTTAGAAAGGGAATGTTTTACATTGTTAAACTTATACTTAATTGATTTTTAGGCCCATCCAATGCTCACTGAACACGAGTGCAAGAAACTCTGCAAGTTCATAGACTGCCAAAAGCTCTCGCAAGAGGCTTGCAACCATGCTGCACAGAATGACCGACTGCCAGTACAGATGACCGTGCGAGTTCTGCATTGTGAGCAGCTACGGTTGAAGAATGCCTTGTGTGGAAGCTCTGGAGATGGATTCATGTCGCAGAGAATTAGCAGTGGTGTGCCAAGTGCAGCTATGTCACCTCGAGATAATTATGCATCTTTAAGGAGAGAGAACCGAGAACTTAAGCTTGAAATTTCGAGGATGAGAGTGAGACTGAGTGAGTTGGAGAAGGAACAGATGGTAATGAAGCAAGGAATGATAGATAAGTCAGGAAATGGGAAAACGTTTTTGACCTCCCTTTCTAGAGGTATAGGAAGGATTGGAATATTTAGCGGGCCCGGGGGTGGAAAACGACAAAAATCTAGTCGAAAATCTAGGGGATCGGGATTGGAAGGGAAACTTGGTAGGAGTCGAAGACATTCTGTTTCTTAAGTGTTGGAATTACTCATTGTATTTCAAACTAAACATAACCTTTTGGATCTTATATGCTCATATCTTATATACAGATAAATATAAAGAAAAGAAACTATAGGGGAGAAGAAGAAAATATCATAACTTCATTTAATTTAATTAATGCTAATGTAATTGTTTAAAATAATATAGTACATTTTAAAATGTTATTTTAGTTAATATTTTTTAAATCATATCATACTTTTTAAAATATTATTTTAATTAATATTGTTTTGTTAATTAAATATGTTTAGAAGTTTCTTCATGTATAAATTCCTAACAATGTTTAACTTAAAATTGTTTTATTTAAATATGTAATTAATTAGTTTAAAATATTAGTATTATTTAATTATTAAGAAGTAGTTATTATGTTGTAATTTTTTATTTTTTATAATTATTTATATCATTTACAAATTTTTTATAACGGTCTGTGAATTTAAAAGAAAATAAATTATAAATTGAATGTAGAAGCGAAATAAGTAGTTAGGGTTTACATTTCTTACACAATAATTTAAATTACCCAATAAAACTACGAGAATAATCATTTTAAAAGAAATAACGAAAAATCAAAGAAGTAAATGGAAAATAAACAAGTAGGCATCCTACTCGCAACCCTCTTATGTCTAGGATTTTAGATTTTGGTTCTCTTGATCTGAAAAGCTTAATGAAAGAATACACTACACTGCCCTAATAAGAATATCACGCTATTCACCGACATAGAAATGAAGGTTGATAAAAATTATGAAAACAACTAATGGAGTTTTTAATTTAAGTAAATCCGTTTATCATAAATAAAATCATTTACAGCATACTTACCGTAGCGAAATTTTCAAAACCAACCAATATAGTCAATAATATAAACAATATCGTAATCTCATATGCAATCAGTCGACAACAACAACTTTCTCTTTTATCTGCCTATTAGTATCCATGGTGGTCCATAGGGATGTCCCCACTACGCGTGAACTTTTTTTTTAACATTTTCAATTAACGGACCGTCTCCATACCCTGTCCAATATGAGTACCAAAATACCATCTCTCAATACTTCGTTCGGCATGAGGGTGAAACGGGTTGTCCCCATACCCTGTTTGGTATGAGCGTCAAAATACTAATTCTCGATACACCGTTCGGTATGAGGCAACGTTCATGGTAGGGTTCCCTATGTACTCGGTCCGTCCATCACCTCCCAGGATATCCAGTAAGGCTACCGTTCATCCATTTACTTAATCAAACAATTTTGTTTACCTTTAATTTTCAGTTTTCCTATTTAACTGTAATCACATAAAACAAGTAATACATGCATCAAGGAAACACAATCGTATCATCATATCAATTTTAGTGTATTATCATGGATTCAAAACTGTAAAATCAACCAATCAGCTAAACACGACAAACAGTAATAAATAACCGGTTCCGCCTCCATTAGTGACATATAATTAATTATGAATATTTTTTAAACTACATAAAATACCGTATTATTACTAATTAAACTTCAATTCCATAACAGGGATTTAAGTGAGAGATTCATACTCAAATTGATGTTCGAAATGTTAAACTTTCAGCTGCGCCTACTGGCGGTCCCCATATTCCCTAGATTTTTCTTCGGGGATTAAAACACACCTCAAGTACCTAGAAATACCCAAAAAAATCCAAAATCAGGGTTAAAAACCCTTTTTGGCCAATTTTGAAATTCCGGCACACTGGCTCCCTCGTGCTTTGGCAACGGCACTGCTGCCCACGACGACAATTTGCCTCTGGTTGGCCCATTTCAGCCGATTTCGTACCAATCCTTGCGAGAAAACACGTTAAGGGGTCTCGGTTGGCCGAAAAGTCAAAAAATCGAAGCTTACAAGCGGCAGGGTTTTTCGATGCGGCAGCTCCGCCTACTCACCTTCGCGGTTGGGTGTTTTGTTTCGGTCAATCTATAGAGAAAGGAATAATGATTACAATAGTAAAAAAATTACACGAAACGGGAATCGAGAATGGCCTTATCGGAGGCGATTTTTACTTTTTCCCATAGCAATGCTGCCGGGCTTTGCCCCCCGGTTTTCGACTCATCTGTTGGTCCTTTTACTCCGATTTGGCCGTGAGGATATTCAAAATTAAATTTCGAGTGAATGAAATATTTTTTACCTCATTTGGTAGTCGGAAGTGGCTCCAGCATGATGGCAGGCACAGTCGGCTCCCTTCTCGGCGACTGGCTCTTCTTCTCCGGCGGGGGGGTCTAGCTGTAACGGCCCCAGAAATTTAAAATGAAATGCGTATTAAAAATATCAAATGCGGAAGCGAAGTCAAAAATTTGATTAACATCCCTTACACTAAAACCAAAAACGTGCTCACAAAATATAAAACATCAAACTACCTAAAGGAGAAACTTGAAAGTAAAAGCTACGAATATGACTATGGAGTCTTTAGGCGTCCCCTTCGTCGTCCTCCTGCGGAACGGGCTCGGGAACAATGTCTTCCTGATCTAAAATGATTAAATAAGGAATGAGCTACACTAGCCCAGTAAGGACATCACGATATCTCACCGTCACGGAGGTAAAGGTGGGTAGAAAACACAAAAAGACCAATGGAGCATAATTTACAACAAATTCTTTTGTCAATAATAAATCCTTTACCATCCACTTACCTCGGTGAAATTCATAAAACAGTATACGAAAGCAATAACATTATCATCATCATGAAATCATATATAAACTGTATAACATAATACTTATCACGCCTTTTGCAATTCAATCATTACACAACATATTTTCCTCTTTTACCAGTCCACTAGTATCCATGGGGATCCATAGGGGTCCCGCTACCCGTTAATCCTTAACACTTGAAATCAGATTCCAGGGTCGTCCCCATACCCCGTCCGGTATGGGCGCCAAAACTATAAACCCCATTACCCCGTCCGGTATGAGGGTGAAACGGGCCGTCCCCATACCCCGTCCGGTATGGGCGCCAAAACACATAAGGTCTCATACCCCGTCCGGTATGAGAGACCACAATCCCGGTAGGGTTCCCTACGGACCCGGTCCGTCCACCATCTCCCAGGATAGCTAGTCAGGCTGACCACATTATACAATTACCCATTTACATAATCTTTCATTCTCTTTTTCCTCAGTCAACATCATCAATCCACATACAAACAAGCAAAACGGTAATTTATGCCAAACAGACAACATACAGCATCAATATCCCAGTCATTCAATCCATAATCAATAAAACAGTAAAATATGCACACGAAACTATAAAATGAAAACATCAAACCTCATACTGCATTTAAAACTGTAAAACAGGCCAAATAACAGTTAACCAACAAACATACTAGACTCGGGCTCCATTAGCGACCTTAAGCAATTTCACACATTCGTTGATTCAAGAAATGCCGTTTTATCATTATTGAACTTTAATACCGTGATAGGAAATAGGGTGAGGGGTCCTTACTCGTTTTGGGGTCCGAACACGGCTTCACAGTGCGCCTACAAGCTGTCCCTAATTTTTTCTGAATTTTTTTCGGGGAACTGAAACGCACTACTGGTACCTGCACGTATTCCAAAAAATCCCAAATTAGGCCCAGGGCCCCTTTTTGGCCAATATCGCAATTCTGGCACGGCGGCTCCGCCGTGCTCCGGCGACGACGCTCTCGGGTGCGGCGGCTCTCCAGTGAGGTTCGTGTTTTGGTGATTCGGCTCCGATCAACCTGTAGAGAAAAGAATGGTGATCACGGTGATATAAAAATTGCATCAAACGGAGGCCGGGAAGGGCCTCATCGGAGGCAAAAACCGAGGAGGGGCGCGGCGGCGCCGCTGGGTTTCGGCCGTGTTTTCCGGCCGTTTGGCCGGGATTTTGGCTCCTATTTGGCCACAGGAGAAATCAGCGTGGAAAAACGAGTTGGGGGTATGAAATTTACCTCGATCGGTGGTCGGAAATCTCCTCGGTGCGGCGACGGGTGGCGGCGGCCGGCGTCTCCGGCGTCTGGTTCGTCTTCTCCGGTGAGGGCAGGCGGCTAGGGTTTTTGTGGTCAGGTGTGGGGGTTCTATTTATACCCTTTTGCCTTTTGATCTCAGCCGTCCATTTTGATTTAATCTGGACCGTTCGTTTTTGATTGAATCTGGGCCGTCCGTGCGATTGCATCTGGGCCGTCCGTACGCACGCTTGATCTGGGCTGTCCGATCGCGCGTACGCGGATCGCCAACGTGGCCCGTCCCCGGTCGACGTGGTTTTGCCACGTGGTAGGTCCTGGTTGGCCGGGACTGCTGACTGGGTCTGCTGACGTGGCTGCTGACGTGGCGTTTTTTTTTAAACCTAATTAAAATAATTAATAATAAAATAATAATTTTTTTTTTCAAATTTCCGGGCGTTACACTAGCGGCTAGAGTTAGGATTTGGTATGAAGAGAATTATTTATATTCTTTTTAATCTGGGTCATTTATCGCATTTGATCTGGACCGTCCAATTACATTTAAATAGAAAGTACATCTGAACTGTCCGATCACATTTAAATAGAAAGTAGATCTAGACCGTTCATCGCGATTTGATCTGGACCGTCCGATCGTGTTTAAAGGAGAAATGGATTCGAACCGTCCGTACGCGTGAGAACAAATTCAGACTGTCCGATCGCGGACATGCAGATCGCCAGCGTGGCCTCCTGCATGGCACTGTGTCAGCGTGCCTTGCCACGTAGAGCGCCCCGATTCGTCGGGGCTACTGACTGAGCGTCCTACCTGGCATAATTTTCTTAAATTACGTTTTGATTTGTTATTTCTGATTTTTCTTTCAAAAACACTTTCAGAACTCAAAATTTCACCCATTTTGCCCAAAATAATTTTCAATTGCATCCTCCACCTATTTTTCTTCATTTTTACATTAAATAAAAAATTTAAAAATTAAAAAAAATTATATTTATACATTAATTTTAATTATATTAAAATTAATTAAGGGTATTACAACTCTTTCCCCCTTAAAATAAATTTGATGCCTCAAATTTGTCTCTCTCTCACTCAATCAAATAGTTAGGGATATTGGGCTCTAAAGTCTTA